ACCCAATGCTTCCCCTTAATATATGTGTCAACTTTAGTTTATCTTTTCACATATTGAGTATATTTTTGTTGGACACCTCCTGGAATTAATGGGCATGTGCCACTATGTCATGCCCCAAAATAGTGTCCTCACCTTTAATGAGTTACACTCTATCATGAACAAGGGGAGAGGCCAAGGAGGAGCAAACACTGAAAGTTCCTAATGAGTCAGTACTTGTGGCTACAGTCACAGCTACTAGGGAGGCAAATGCAGGAAGACCAGGAGTTCAAGGCCCTCCTGGGCTATAAAGTGAGTTCAAGGCCAACCTGGGCAACCCTGTCTCAAAGAGTAAAAAGAGGCATAGAATAGCTTGTTTAGCATGTGCAAGGCCCTTGGTTCAATCCGAAGTACCAGAAGGACAAAGCACAAACCAAATCTAAACTAGGTCTGAGCTGTTAGGTTAACATTTCAGAGCTTGTTAGCAAAAGGTAACTAGTACTTCCAGATAAATACATTATTCAGAACACACACACACACAAACATACACATACAAACATGCATACATATATGCATATACATACACAAGCATAACATGATAAACACACATACACATATATGCATACATATACACATACATGCACACACACTATATACACATGCACACACACACGCACACACGCACACACACAAGAAGGCTTAGGAAATGATTTGCTGAGAAATCTTTGTTCATATTAAGGAGGGTGCAGGGAACACTCCCTTGCAGAAGCTGCAAAGATGTTCAGTGGTGAACAGCAGAGTGCCCAGCAAGCATATACACAGGCTCTCGACCTAGCAGGAATACGTGCAGCTCAGCATTTTAAATTTACTTGTAGCTTTTCTAGCAGTTTAATTTAACCCTTTTCTACTTCTTTTTCTGGGAGTTCAGTCCTTACCTGCAGATGTGGCCTGGGCATGTGCTTCCCAGGGAACACAGCCTCAGGCTGTTACACCCCACTTTCACAAAGCCATCTCTGGCCACAGGTTGCACTGTTTTTCTTGCCCTAGCAGGACACCTGAGATTCATTTATAAGGGAAAAGGCTTGACTCACGCATGATTCAAGACCTGTCAGCTGCAGCTGGCTGAAGCTCTGGCAAAGAGCAGGTATTGGGGAGGAAGCGCAGAAGTGATAGAGGACTGGCCTGTCTTAGTTACTGTTCAACTCTGGGAAGAGAGCCTGTTTTAGTTAGGTCACACTCATCCAACAGGGCCACATGTCCCAACCCTTTCAAATCATGCCACTCCCTGTGAGCCTATAAGGGACTATTTTCATTCAGACCACCCCATTCCACACCCTGGGCCCAATAGATGAGTAGGCAAAAAAACTGGGAAATGTTTACATAACACAGGACACGTACTTCTACTTTTGCAAACAAGGTTGGTTGCCCAGTGCACAGGATGTGCGTGATCACGTGTATGTGGGAGGCGTGTAGGCAGGAAGTATGTCAGGATGTGTGCTTGCTTCTGACTGGACGAAGTCGGCAGCTTTGTAAGCCTTTGTATACTCATGACCAACGTGTGCCTCTCTAGGAGTCACAGGTCAAGAGCTGGCTGGCTTGTGTCCATCATCGTGGCCAGTATTTAATAACGCTCATTTCAGATTTGACTGAAAAACTGTAGTGGTGCTCTTGTTCTCGCCTGATGGGATTAACAGATTTGGTTCCATTATACTTCCTGGTGCCTCCTTTCTCCTCAAACCAGACACTTAAACCTGAATAAGACTAGCCACTAAAAACCCTTAGACCTGAATAAGACTGGCCACTAAAAACCACACAACACAGTGAATACTAGGCTGTGTAGAAATTTCCTCTGCCAATGCTGTTAATCCTTAACTCTTCAATTTAACCTGAGGCAGATTTTTTTTGGGGGGGGGGGGAAGGGCAGAAAACAGCCACATTCCTTGCCAAAATATTACAAGAGTGATATTTAGGCCACTTACTAATATTCTTATCCAGTAGAACATCTTGAGCTGAACTCCCACAGTTCAAATCACCCTCGGCACCACTGTCTTCAATGATCCTACTTGAAATCCAGGCTTCAAGTGTCCGATTGCTTTTCTAGTACGAAGCCTCCAAACGAAAGCACGGTCAGGCTTCTCACAGCAATACTAGTAACAACTTCTATCTGAGGGTTTCTATTGCTGTGAGGAGACCAGGACCACTGCAACTCCTATAAAGGACAACATTTAATTGGGGCTGGCTTACAGTTCAGAGGTTTAGTCCATCATCGCCATGGAAAGATGCATGGCAGTGTGCAGGCAGGCGTGGTGCTGGAGATGTGGCTGAGAGTTCTACATCTGGATCACAGGCAGCAGGAAGAGACACTGGGCCTGGCTGAGCACTGAAACCTCAAAGACCACCCCCAGGGACACACCTCCTCCCATGAGGCCACACCAATCCAACAAGGCCACATGTCCTAATCCTTTCAAATAATGCCATTGGAGCCATTTTCACTCAAACCAACACAGAAACCATGACCAAGGCAACGAATGAAATAATTTATCTGGGGGCTTGCTTATAGTGAGTCCATGACCATGATGGGACAGCATGCAGCATTCAGGCATGACACTAAAGCAGAAGCTGAAAACTAAGATCTGATCTGCAAGTTGTAGACAGCAAGAGTGAGACTGGGCCTAGCATGGGATTCGGAACCCCTAAGCCACCCATCTCCAGTGACACACCTCTTCCAAGAGAAGCACACCTTTTAATCCAAGTAGGGAACAAGCATTCAAATATGTGAGCCTGTGGGTCTGTTCTTACTGAAACCACCATATCTGTCTCATTAAAAAAAACTCAATCCAGTCCTTTAAGATCTGAATCAGACCCACTTGACAGCCTGTTCTCCTCTTAAACGGCCTACCACTTCTCAATACCACTGGGAATTAGACTTCAACAGATGTTTCAAAGGAGATGAACATCAAACCATAACAGCCATCTTGTTAAAAAGAAAAAAAAGTCGAAATGTTCTTACTATTCTTATACAGACAAACCAACTTACAGTAGTGTAGCTAAACTTTAAAAAAAAACTTTATGGTTGTGTCAAAGTGAAATAAAGGTGGTGGAAATCATACTTTGAACTTTGACCCTCTCCTGAGCTACTGATGTGCAGCCCAGTACTTTCTTGTAACAGTAGGCATCGACCTGCTGAGATCAGGGAACTAAAGAAATAAATGTGTATTTATTTGTCAATGTGTATTTATTGTCAATGTGTAGAGAATAGACTCTGGAGCCCTCAGCCCTAAGTGTGATGCCTTCATCAAACATCTCCCCTCAGGGCTCAGGGAACCATGCAGGAGTGGAGGAGGAAAAATTGTGAAAGCCAGGGATGGTGGATGACGTCAAGGAACAGTGTCTCCTGGACACAACAGGACTGTTGCACGTATGAAATCATGGAGTCCATGGCAGCATGCATAGAGCCTGCACAGGTACAAGCCAGATGGGGTTCCAGTGCTGGGAGGAGGAAGTGGACACAGGATCCCACCCCTTCCTAAGAACCTATCTGCAGCTGATACCCACTGGCAAAGAAGAATCAGTTTTCTCCAATGGGGTCTCATTAGGCATATTAACTACATGTCAGGAGTAGTAAGTCCAGCACACAGGAGTAGCTGGCTGACATAACACAAACCAGATAGTGTCTTTGTAGGTTTATGTCTCATTTTGCTTTGTTTGAGCATTTCTCTTCCTTCCTTCCTTCCTTCCTTTAGATTAGGTGGGTAGAAAGGATCTGGAAAGAATTAGGGAAGGGGAAATTCATGATCAAAACATATTGTCTGAAAACATTTTTTTTTTCAATAAAAAACAGTACTCTACAGTATTGTTTGCTATCAGGCTTTTTTTGGATATTGTATTTTGTGCTTTCACACTCTAACATTTACAAAGTGCTAGATGCCTGTGTGTAACATATTCAACACTTTTATTTTACAGTAGGCTTTTTATAAGGTAGCTTTGTCTAACTGCAGGCTAATGGAAGTGTCATGAGCATATTTAAAGGCAGCTAATGCCAGAGAGGGAGCTCAGTGAGTAAAGGCACCCATGGCCATGCCTGATGGCCTGAGTTTTTCCCTGGGATGCACAGTGGAAGGAGAAAAGCCATCTTACAAGCTGTCCTTTCTTCTCCATGTGATTCTGTGGTAAGTGCCCTGTCCCACTCTTACAGACAAAACAAACAAAAGTGTCAAAGTTAAAAAAGAAAGTGAATTAAGCTAATCTATGATGCTCAATAGGTTAGATATATTAAACACATCTTCAGCTTATTGTATTTTCAATTTACAGTGAGTTTCTCGGACTATGATGGCACCCTGTGCTGACACCAGGAAGCAAGTTACCACTGAAAGCACCACCCAGGCTTGATGGTACTAATAGAACACAAACCAATGCTTGACAAAATTAATCCAAATTGGGTTTTCCAGGGAGCAGGCTCCCAAAATCACCCAGACAGGATGTCTCGGAAGATGGGTCTGGCATTTGAAGGTATAAGGAGTCCTCAGGTGATTTTGTAGGACACACTTCATGGAAGAAACTGTACTAATTGTATTTTCCACTTAGTTTCATCTTTTAGAAAACAAAAATGTAAAATAAAGCAAGTTTTAATTCCTCCAGATCAGGTGTCTTCATGTCTTGCTGGCTAGAAAACATATTATGGCCTGAATTAACAGCAGTCAGTTATGCAGCAGGTGAACATTTAATTAGTGTTTGTATACACTTTTCAATAATTGTGCATTAATGACTTCATATAGTTCCCAGCAATGTTATGGGACAGCCTGTTATTCTCATATTCAAAAGAAAGTTGTAAAGCTGTGAAGACTTGCACAAGAGCCTCCAATACAACAGAGCAGCTGTGGGCTTCACAGACCAGAAGGAAAAATGATTGTGTTATCTTTATTGAAAAAAAAAAAAGCAATTGCAATGCATTAATGTTTTCTATAACTATTTAAAAAAACTGTAGTTACCACACCATACTTGGCTTGTAAAACACATTATTATAATAAGATGCTCAGTTATTCTTTATTATGTATCTAATTTTTTATGTCTACACACACACACACATTTTTGGGGAGTGATAAAGAAATAATCCATTGTTCCTGAGTTTGACTGTGGGAGGATAATTTAAGATGGGTCATGTTTCTAACATTAATTTTTCAGAAAAGGCAAGTTCTACATTTTAATTTTCATACACCTTATATTAAAACAAAAACACAAACACATTTCTCCATCAATCTCCACAGCAGAAGAGCTGTGCCTGGAGAGAATTGCCCCACGCCAGCCTTCGTGATGTCAGCAGTGATATCACCAAACCTGATCTGACTCTGTGGCATGTTCCTTCCACACAACCACTATTCCAAACAGGTTTCTGTAGATGTTTTCCAAGGAAAGAACTCCCAAAAAATCTGGGTGCCATGAGATATTGCAGTCCCATTTCCATGAAAACCAATGCTTCCCTGCTACATGCCGCAGTTCCTAGGATCAGCAGAAAATCTGAGAACAAGCACAAAACAAAAGCAAAGAGAATAAGGGAGAGCAGTAAAGGTCTTATTTCAAGAATGCTGGCTATAAAATCCACTCTCCACCTTCTGCAGTTGTGTGGATGCCCTCTGTAGCCAAATATAACACTTCCCGAATAACTGGAACACTGAAGAACAAGCTCGGCCCAGTAAAGACAGTGCAAACTGACCAGGATGTAGCTAAGACACATCCAAGACCGGAGATGTATCTAAGGGTAAGACCAGCACCATCGTCTTTCTAGCGACACAGCTTGAAACCCAGGCTTTTCTCCTTACCTTGATTGCTTACGAATCACTCAGCCTGTGATGATGCTTCAGCGTAGCTCAGAGGTAGATGCAGACCAACGACAGGTCCCACGATGCTCAGCCACGATGTGATGTAGTTGACATTTCTAGGAAACAAGCAAGGCATATGTGATACAAATGCTCCGTTACAGTTTCTGATGACGAGCTGGTGAGTGGCCAGAACAAAGAGAAGCGAGGCCTTTTCTGAAGAGGCTGGCTTGTCTGGGACCCCAGAATCCCTGCTTCCAGGCACACGATGTAGTGCCTGGATTTGTGATCCCAGAGGATCACAAATAGTAGGTGAGGGTCTCTCACCAAGGTAGCTGAAGGGCAAAACAGAAATGGGGCTTCCAATTCCTCATGAGGGCTCAAATTTTCCATTTGGATTTCCAGCATTTGTTGAGCTGGCTAAGTGAAGCCGTTAAAATCTTGGTGCTGAGATACAAATTCCTGAATTCAAAGTCCTACCCCAAACAAGCTGGGTGACTTCGCAGAGTCACTTAACTCCTCTGTGCTTTAGCTTTCTTCTCTGAAAATTAAGTAAAAGTTATTGGAATTTTATAAAAGCCCATTGTGTTCATATATCTAAAACTCAGAACACTAGCACACAGCCAAAACTCAATGTGTTCACCATCATTATTAGAAAGGATATTTCTTATTTTGACCTGGCTTTTAGAGTCACATGAAAAGATTTACACTTTTAAAATCAGAGTAGAGCACAATGTGTCTTGATGGTGTTTCTTACCTATTGATTTTCTGTGAATTCTTTAGCACGGCAGTCATGAATTCATTTGTCTTGCAGGGATGTAAAACAAAAAATGGTTGCCCAAGTATTGGATGCTCCTGCAAAAAAATACCAACTGTCACCGAGAACTACTTTGAAAAAGTTAAACAATCTGCTTTCCTTTTTAGTATTTAAAATCTGTATACCCTGTCTCTCTCCCTCCCCCACCACGTGTGTGTGTGTTCACAGGCGTGAACACGCACGTGTACATATACACACATGAAGCTCTGAGGACAATTTTCCTCTCCTTTTGCCATGCGGGTCCTGGGGCTTAACCTCCTGTCATCAGGCTTGGCTGCAGGTGTCTTTACACGCTGTGGGGCGTGTGTGTGTGTGTGTGTGTGTGTGTGTGTGTGTGTGTGTGTGTGTGTATGAGAACAGGCCCCTTAAGCTCATGTACTATTTGAGAAAAATTAGAAGGATTATGAGGTATAGCTTTGTTGGAGGAGGTGTGTCACAGGGTGACTTTGAGGTTTCAGAAGTCGTGCCAGGCCCCGCTTCTTTTTTGGCCCGTGGATGGGGACGGCTCTCATCGACTGCAGGCGAGCTACCGTGTCCACACCATCATGACGATGGCCAGCCTCTGAAACTGTAAGCCAGTCCCCAATGACATGCTTTCTTCTAGAAGAGTTCTTGTGGCCAGGATGTCTCTTCACAGGAAGAGAACAGAGACAAATACACCCACTAAGCCATATCCACCTGCTCTGCTCTTTTAAAATAAATACCTAACTTAAATTCTGTCACTGATTAACATTCAGGTTGACTTACCACTTTGAAAGACAATTATAATCCAAACATGACAAAGGTTGTGAGAAGAAGCTATTCACTGATTTATTGTTGAGCACAGTGGGACACACATGCCATTTACACACTATAAATTAGATAAATTTCCTTGGTTCTCTCTCAGTTAGCCAATGTTTATCTTTGGCTTATAATCATTTTAATTTTTCTTCAGTGATGTACAAAAGACCAATAACTTGACAACCAGAACAAAGCATTTCCCTTACCTCCATGTCAGCAGTCCAGGAGCCACAGTCATTTGCATATTTAAGCTTGAAACTGGTTAGTGTGCTAATTGCTTCACCAGGCTAGCTTCCTCCCAGTGTCAGTGGGCACATGTTCCATGACACACACTGAGTGGAAGGAAATGGCTCACATCATTTCTCCCTCCTCTCCACTCCTCTCATCCTCTCCTTTGTCTCTCAGATATAGCTGTTTCTAACACTGAAACCCGATGGTATAATTCTCTCTATAGGGGAATGACTGGACATAAGCTACAGACCACTCTGCTGCCAGTTAATAGTCACAGACAATGGGGGTCTCAGAAGGTTTCTATATGGTGAATAATCCATGCATAAGGTCTACCAACAACAACAAAAAAACATTATTGATGATAAATTGTTTGCATTGTTATTACCACTGTGACAGAGACTACCAACTCAAGTAGCTGTGAAGTCCATACAAATGACTTTGAAGGAGAATTCTGGTTAAATACATAAGGGCCAGCAGAGCTGCAGAGGGCTGCCATCCAAGGCTGTGCTCACTGCCCCAGCCCAGCTAACAGGGCCATACAACAAGGCAGGTCCTGAATGCCCCTCTTCTATTTGTCAAAATCAGCTTGGGTAAAATCTCTTAAATGTAAATGCTGGCACACGATGCCTTTAAACACGGCCTGGCTAAGTAAGTCAGATGAGGAGCTGGATGTAGGCAGGGCCTGCCCAGCAGCTTTTCTTGCCTGCTTCTCCTCCTCTTGGTCAGTCTCCAGGAAAGCCAAGCCCGCAGCAGCTCCTGAGGAGCCTAAGTTCTGCCTCTACTCTCAGCCCCAAGCATCATGTCTGCTGCACTTGCTGCTCTCCCAAGGACCCAAGTCTGATTCATAGTAGCCATGGTAGGTGGCTCACACTGCCTGTGCTCCAGCGCCAGGGCATCTGATGCCACTTCTGGCCTCTATAGGCACCCTCACACATGTGGCACACACTCACGCAGATACACATAAATAAAGTAAAATAATAATGAAAAGACCTAAGAAGGGTCTACATAGATGCTCAAACTGAGGGATTTATGTATGGTGAGGGGTGTAGCCATATATGCACCTGGAATTTTCAGCACAACTTGGTCTCTTTATCTTTGCCCACTCCACTGTTTGCTCTTGCTTTCTAAGTTTTTATTGGCTACTTTCCTGCCCAGCATTTGCTCTCATTCCTGGGCCCTGGGGGGCACTGTACCTCTGGCAAGTCTCCTGCGCAACTTGATTCTGGCTCCTTTATTTATTAATTAAAAATATATTTATAAAAGAAATAACTTCTCAGGTGTCTGCCAGGACTCATTCTAGATCTCCTCTGGTGACCATAGTATTGCTAGAGCAGCAGTTCTCAACTTGTGGGTCATGACCTCTCAGATATCCTGCAGACCAGGTATTTAAATTAAATTCCTAACAGTAGCAAAATTGCAGTTATGGAGTAGCAATGAAAGGCTTTTATGTTTTGGGGTCACCCCAACATGAGGAACTGTATGAAAGGGTCATGACATTAGGAAGGTTGAGGACCAGTCCTCTAGAGTAAGCAAAGCCTCTGGTCTCATAGGACTTGACTCAAGAGCAGGAGACAGCCAACAACACACAAAGACACAGGCTCAATGATCCACACAGCTGTAGGTGTTGATGGAAATCTACAAGGTCGCACAGTTCTGGAGGGATTGCAGTGATGATGTAGTTGGTACAAGAGGAGGCCTTAAGGTACAGGCATGCTGTGGACTAAATGTGTGTCCCTCTCCATTCAGATGTGGAAATTCTGGCTCTCAAGGAATTGACTTTGGAAGATAAGTCTCTGGGAGGTGATGAAGTGACCAGGGAGCAATAGCCCTGAGTGAGAACAGGACAGGCTCTCTCATGTCTTCTAGACAAAAGAGGACACAGAAAGTGGCCACTTGTCAGCTGCTGTATGGTAGAGATTTGGGCTCTAAGTTATCTTTGCTCACTCCATACAGAAAATGGGTAGGAGTTCACACAAGTTCTGTAAAACTCTTGGGTCAAGTCCTGCTCTACCATTGAGGAACTGTGACTTTTAGGGGAACCTCAATCTTTTTTTTTTTTTTTTTTTTGTCTCTTTTCTTATGGGATAGGTTAACAGGCACAGGATGACAGCAAATTTCTGAAGTGATAATATCAGAAATGTGCATAGAAGAAATTTGACCTGCTTGACAGAGGTCAAATGTTTATCTATTAATTAATTCATGCTGAAATAGGTACGGATATGCCATTCAGACTGTGGGCTTACAGTAAAGTAAGCTGAGAGTGAAGGCTTTATACAAGACCTATATTCTTCAAAGTATGGGTTTTATGAAAAGTTTTTTACTATATGATTCAATACTCTAATGCCCCTCTTCCCCCCCCCCCCTCAGATCTTGTAGAGTTTGCAGCATTAAAAGATATCACTGGGCCTGGAGAGATGCCTAAGAGGTTAAGAACACTTCTTCCAAAGGTCCTGAGTTCAATCCCCAGCACCCAGATCTGGTGCCCTCTTCTGGTATGCAGGCACACATACAGGCAGCTGGGCTAGTATTTCAAAGTGTGGTTGGTCAGGCTGGCCAGCAATGTCCTATGCTTCACCCTGGTCCAGAAGAAAATATGCCTGGCTATTATGTCTGTGTTGTGGTAAATAAAATGAGTACTGGGCTATACATTATTTGTTATTTGCCCTATGATTATCATGGTGGTATTATTTAACCCATTATCACAAATAATAAGACACAGACACCTGTTAGGTTTTATAATTGCCTTATATATCTTGGGCTTATTTACCTTACACTGTCTCAATAATCTCACCATCTATGTCCCAGTCCCCATCCAATGCCATACACCTTAACCATTCCTATCTGGGCTACCTTCCATGCATAATCTTATAAACACTTGTTTATATTTTTCATTTTGATGTTTTCTCCATCCACGCCATCCTTTCTCCTGGCCCACATGGTTCCTTCTCTATGCTAACCCATCGTGGCATCCTCCTGCCTCCTCTCTTCCCATTTGTTTCTGGTGATTCTCTTGAACCTTAGCCACGCCTACCCCATTCTGCTCTGCCTAGGTATAGGCTGTTTAATCAGCCAATCCAGCCAGTTTACATAACAATAGGTGTATCCAGGCAGTAACCAGCATCAGGCCAACCCCCAACATGCCTGCTTCCAGACCCAGTGGCTCTGAGAACCTTCTGACCACTGCTTCAGCTACCATAGGAGGAATGGCAAGATCCCACCTGCCAGGTGAAGGGCAGACCAGTAACTTTTGATCCATACCTGCTGGTCCTTCTGACTTACAGAGGCCCAGGATGGGCAAACGCAAAGAAAAGAAGGCAACATTTGCATGGTCTGCCTCAAGTTTCTGCTGCTCACCTATAGCTGCTGCTTCTGGCCGGCCAGCCTGGCAGTCTTGGCAGTGGGCATTGGGACGCTGGCCCTCAAGAGTGACTACATTAGTCTGCTGGCTTCAAGCACCTACGTAGCCACAGTCTACACCTTAGTGGTGGCTGGAGGAACTGTCATGGTGACCAGAGACCAGTGGCTGCTGTGCCACTTTCAAGGATCAACGGAACCTCTTATGTTTGTACTTCAGCTTGCTCGTCTTCATCTGCCTACTGTACATCACTGCTGGCATCCTGGCCTATGTCTATTACCAGAAGCGGAACACAGAGCTCAAGGAGAATCTGAAGGACACCATGATCAAGAGATACCACCAGTCAGGTCATGAGGGTGTGACCAGTGCTGCAGACAACAGGAGTTCCACTGCTGGGGCAGCAACAACCCTTGAGGCTGGCGAGACAGCCAGTGGATCCACTATGGTGAGGCCGAACACCATGTGGATCCTAACAGCTGCTGTACACTGTGGTACCTGGCTGTGGTAGGCAGGACCATGCTTCCAACATCTATAAAGTGGAGAGTGGCTGTATCCCTTTGCTGGGGACTATGCAGGAGCACCTGTGGGTCACAGGGCCCTGGTGGGCATCGCTTGTATGCCAGTCCTCGTGTGCTCTTCAGCTCTGCTTGTACAGAAGCCTCAAGCTGGAGT